GCTTCTGCATCCCCTTGTGAATGCTTGCAGTCACCTTCTTCCATTTTGAATCATTCACCCAGGCTGTTACTCAACCTTCAGAATACATCCCTTCCTCTCTCCCAACTTCCTCCATTCCATATCCTCTTAGTCTTTTTTTTTTTTTTTTTTTTTTTTTTTTTTTTGCCTTTTTCTTTATTATCCTTAATATGCTGAAAGGATGAAAGGCTGGCACTGTACCAGGGAGCCATGGGCATGGTATTTCTTAGGCAAATCATGTGGCCCTTATCCCTCAAGGGGACCCTTTATTTATTCTGCATTATTATTCAAACACTGTCCTTTGCTCTGTTTCTCTTTCTTTCCAAGATATCTCAGCATATCCCCCAGTATCTCTTCCCCATACTCCCCCTTCTATCCTATCCTATCTTTCTCACCATCCTCATCCACATCCCCCCCTTTCTCATCATCATACTCATCCCCTCTTTCTCATCATCATCATCATCTCTCTCCTCCTCTTTCTCATCATCATCGTCTTTGCCCTCTTCCTCCTCTTTTTCCTATTTCCCCTTTTCCTGCTCTCTCTTCTCCTTCTTTTTCTCCTCTTTCCCCTCTTCCTGCTTTCTCCTCTCTCTCTTCCTCTTCCTGCTCTTTCTCCTCTTCTTCCTGCTCTTTCTCCTCCTCTTCCTGCTCTCTCTCCTCGTCTTCCTGTGCTTTCTCCTCTTTTTGCTCTTTCTCCCCCCTCCCCTCCTCTCTTCTTCTTTTCCTCCTCCACCTCCTCTTTCTCCCCCTCCTCCTCCTCTCAAATATGACCCAAGAGTATGCTCTTCTACCTCATCGACCCTTCAGTCTCTTCCATAACCTCTACATTCAAAACGACTGCCAACGTCCATCCTCATCCACCTCATGTTTCTCCTACCCCTCTTCCTCCCTGTCTCTCCCAACACAGCCCATCTTCCCCTTCTCCATCTACACCCCGTACTCTTCTTTCCCCATTAACCCTTCTGCTCCTTCCTGGATGCTAATATATGACTCCCTTTTCTCACTACACTATCCTTCTCCTGGTTCCACGTCTCATTCCCTGGGTGGTTTACTTTACCAACATCTATCTCTACCCTTATTACCCTTTGATATATTCAGAGTGGTTTCTCTTTCAGTCCCACACTCTGTTATCTCCCTGCTCTTCCTCACTTGTTTTCCTAGAGCCCAGCCTGTATTTATATCCTCATGGAATCTTCTTATATCCTTCATGAGATGCAAACATACCTTTTTTTTATCAAATTACTCTTCCCCCCTGCTTTAACCCCATTTACTCTCTATCTTTACCCTTTTCACTACCACACTGTCCTATAGTGTTCTACAGTCTTTGACTTCTTACACATTTTGTTCTTACTCTTTTTACCACAATACTTTACCATTATGCAATATGATCATTGATATCTAGCGCAATTATTTGTTTAAAGCAAAATGAAAATATGCATTAATCAAGTTTTGGGGGGTTATAACAGGTGCCAAGTAACTAGATGCATTTTGATTTTCATTATTTGCCATAAAAAGTTTGCTACTGTAGATCATCAATGTTGTAAATACCCAAATGCCCCTGCTCATTGTTGTCGTGTAGGGCTTAGGAGACAGAGACTGAAGCCCAAGATAGGGGTCTCCCCAATCCCTTGCCCGTTGTTGTTGTGGGGGGTATTAGGAGACAGAGACTGAGACCCAATGCAGGGATCTTCCCTCTCTAAGGCCTCAGCCCTTGACTCAACTAATTTTGCATGGTCTTTTCCCCCTCCAGCTTTTTGTTTCCGTCTCTTCTCCAATCCCTTCTACTATCTACTTCCTAAGGTGTAAGAGTCGTGCTGAAAGAATGAAAGGCTGACCTTGTGCCAGTCCTGAACTGCCTGCAGGAACCATGGGCACGGTCTTCCCGATTTAATTGTCTAGCCCTTACCCCCGTACAGGGCTCTGGGGGGTGGACTGTTTACATAATCAAGGCTTTCCATGGCCAGTAATGAAGATGTAATACCCCTATTAGGGGCAATGAGGCTTGCCCCTTCATCAAATAACCCCACCGGCTCCCCAACCCCAGGCTCTCCTTTGACCATGACTCCGAACACTGAAACTACTACCCACTCCTCAATGCCTACTAGTGCATTACCCACTCAAGCAGAGACTCAATCTCCAGAAGACATCCCTACCCTCCCAACTTCCTCAAATTCATCAACTCTACCCCTACAACATTCATCAAACACCCCAACCTACCTTATTACTACCTAACAGCCTTATTCTCCATCTCTCCGTAATACTACCCCCCTCAACAACACTCCCGCTTCCACACACCCCTGTCCTTTTACCACCACCAACCCTACAAATATCTTAACTATTCTATTTAGCCCAGCTAAATGGAACTGATTTTTTTGATCCCCCCTACAGCTCCTTACTCAGGCAACACTCTGCTCTTTCAACAATGTCTCCAAAAACATGTAGGCAGAGTAACTTTCCGTACCCGAAGCGATCGCTCCCGTCTTGTAAGTCAGATCTGAAGCTGAAGCATTAGCATTATCAAAACTAACTGATCTCTCTGGCAACTCCATCTCTGCAGAACTTCATCCAACTCTTAATACTTGTACCGGAACTGTCTCTATCTCCCCAGCAAACTGCCCAGTCGATACCAAAGATTGGTCAGATTGTGGAGAAGACTTGTTCGGCTGCCTCAAAGAGGATGTGATATCAGTACATTGCTATTCCATTCCTCCTAGAGGTCATCAAAAGAAACCCACCAACATTGCCAAAATTACTTTCAGTATCCATGACCTTCCCATTCGTATCTACATTGGTAGATCCCTCCCTGTTCAACCATACCAACATCCTCCCTGTCAATGTCAAAATTGTTGGCGATTTGGACATCCTGCCAAACACTGCTGCTCCACAGACCAATGCCTCCTCTGTGCCCAACCTGGTCATAACAGATCAAACTGCCCTGCACAAACACGCACATGTGCTAACTGCAGGGCCCCTATAATGTATTTTATAGAGGCTGTCCCACTTACAAGTTTGAGTCTGAGGTAGCAGCTCAGATACAAAAATGGTCTCACTCTTATACTTCCTACTCCAGTAATGTCACTTGTTCTGCCCTCCCCCTCCACCTCAAGATGTTCCTACAGCCTCCCCTATATCTACTTACTTCCCCACTTCCACCACTTCCACTTCTACATTCGACCTCCCCCAGTCAAATTCTTTTGCCACTCTAAATCCAGACAACCCAGTCTCAACTACAGCCCCAACACCATCCCCTCTTCCTCCCCGCACTACCTGCAGTAGACAGACGAAACGTTGCACCCCTTCTTCCCCTGCCGCACACTCACCTCCACTTACCTTTACCTTTACTCTTCAGACACCAGTCTCCTCTTCCCGCCCTCATAAAGAAAACCTTTGTCTCACAAAACTCTCCAACCAACTCCACTGCAGAAACTATGGAAGACATTCAAAGCTATATGCTTGAGACACAAAATTCCACAACTTATGCTCTCTCCACACTTGAAGTTATTGCTGATATCCATAACCCTTTCCCTCATCAACAAACTTACCCATCTTCAACTTTCCAACATTACTCTAGATAGTTGATGCATAGCAACTATCACCTGACATCACCTTTTACTATACTTTCCTATAGTGCTATATGACAGATGTCTATCACATTTATTTTGCTTTTAACCATTAACCATCTTCTCTCATAAAAAACCTACAGCCCTCTCTGCAGCCCTTGTTTAACTTATTTTGTCCTAATTATTAATTCATTTTTAACCTTTTTGCCATAATACCTTATCATAATGCTATATGACCTATCCTTACCTGGGGCTTCTACCCCAAGCCTCACCCTATTATATTTTTTATATGCCGCTGATGACTTTCGATGTTGACACGGCAGGAATTTTTAATAAATAAATATATCAATGAGAAATCACATCATACATGGGTTGAAATGCTTGGCTCTTTTCTTGTAGTGGTGTTTTTTTATGGTAAGAGAATTGCTCACATATTAAGACAATTTCCAATTTTTCTCCCATACATGATCTGGTAGCACTGATAAAACTGGACACTAAAATAGATATGTAGAGAGTAAAAAGCATAAATTGACATTTTTTTTGTATTCATTCATTTTAAGTTGAATTCTCCAACTTGAGCAATGGAAAAAACAATAACTGGGTAGACAATCCTGATCGTCCTACATTCATCCTTTTACTTTTTTTTTCATTTCCTGTTGTTGCTATTCATCCTTTTTCTCTACTTGCATTTCTCATTCTTTATTTTACTTTTTGGTTTTCCTTTCTTCATTCCGTCACTTCTCGTAAAGCTGTTGTAAGTTTTCAGTTTTTTGTTTCTAGCTGTTGAGTGTTGCCAGACCACAGAGAAAAAAAAAAAAAAAAATTTGCAGTAATATTTTACAATATCTTACAACCAACTTCTGATGTTAGTATGAATCTCCAAGTGAATGTAGTAGATATATCCACTGAGCAACATGTATATTATGCCAGATGATGATGATATAGTGTAGCTAGTTTCTTTCTACTGACTGGTCCAGCATGCAAATGCTGCTTGCTTGCTTCCAAAGCCAGTATTCTATGATTGAGCTATATATCTACCTCTTCATCCTGCTCACTTATGCATTGGCTGCTTGTCTACCATTTATCATTGTGTCATTCAATTATTGTATTACCCATTCTATTTTCATTGCTACAGAGGTTTTTATGAGGCTGTTTTTGTCAATATTCACCTATTGTACATTCTGATCCTTACCTCAGCCTAATTAATCAGAACAAAAGGTTATATAATGTAATTAGTGCATTGAGGCAAAAAAAAAAGTAATTTTAACCATTCAGAGATCAGACAGTTCTTGATGATGAATGTTCTTTAGATGAAATAATTAATCTAAAAAAAAATTAATTAACATAATACAAGAAGCTCTTTATTTGCTAAACTATACCTTCTCAAACTGAAAAAATTAAGGAGAAAATCAAACGCCTAAGTTTTCACCCATAGTAATATTGCCATATTTCTAAAAATGTCTATTTTACAAAAGCTAGTATACACAGGGCCATTATATCATGGCCTCTCAAATCATAAATTACAAACTACAATACACAGAGTTGAAATATGAATTTACATAATGTCAGAATTCATAAATTTCTTGAACAGAATCACTAGGGTAACATATTTACAATATTGTACTTACAAAAAAGAAAAAAAAAAATATTGATAAGACTTGTGACAGCATACATTGCTTAAGTATTTTTTTATGAAAAAGTATGAAGTACAGTTGAATGCCTAATAAATTAATGGACATTAATTTAAATACCCTTGACAAGATTTCCAAGTCAGTGATAACAGAAGCAGCATTTGCTACATTGATTGGCAAGAACACTAAAAAATTATTGCTTTATACATAAGCAACTAATCATAATACTTGCAGACAGCTACTAAATTCCTGAACAATCAATCAATTTCTATTGATATCTATACTCTGTTGGAAACAACAGCTGAACCAACATCAACTGCTGGAATCATGAGGGAAGGAGGGGGTTAAAAGTCTGTTTGAGAAATTATTCCATCGCTCAAGAATCGTGATGTCTAAAGCCCAATTATGATATCAAGGCAATTCAAAGCTTATGGCAAAATCTGAATTATTGACCAAAGGGCCTTAAAAACCTAAAACAAGTGGGCACATGACAATCCTGCAGCGATGTTTTCTACCTGGAATCTTCACCAGAACCACACCAAACAGTCAGGAGGTCAATTTCCTGACCTGACCACATAACTAGGGACCACTAAGGCAAGCTCCCCTAACACAAAACTATTTATCAAGAATAATTTATGATAAAGTTCAGTGGATCTGTGCCATTGTTTATTACACAATCAAAAATGGCTCAGCAATTGTAGACATAGAAATTTCTCACACAAGAACCTTTGGCTCAGTTACCAAGTGTCACAATTACAACCTTAAGTCAGACCTAGTTCTGGATCACACTGACAAGGAATGATTCTCTGCGAATTGTATAAATAAAGTTCTTTCTGGAGCAGTTTCTGAATAACAGTCCTGTAATTCCATGGGTGTGGCTGTACGGATCCCTATCACTGTCTCACCTCTCACTGATTTCTGTTGTTTACCATCATGCAATTTTCAAGCTGCTGTATTATGCACACACAGTGCCTTTTTGCTCTTTAGTGAAATTTCTATGTAAAACAAAATATATATATACAGTATACATATATTTTCTTATTTAATTCCACTGTTTTAAGAAATGAGTATCTGATTTATTGATCTGGAAGAATTTTTACCACAGTAAAGGCTATTTTTTTTTCTTTTCTTTTTTATTGTTATTGGTGGAGTAACACAAGCCAACTATCTTCTGCTAAAGAGTCAACACTTTCTGCTTGTTTGCTGCATAGACACTGTAATTCACACAATTTTTTTATTTGAAGAGCCACTTACTAAGCTATTGTCTAAGATTTCCACCTTCACACACCTGAGCCGCAATCCCTTTTACTTGTTCCTTTTATATTTTTTATATATTTTTAAAGAAATAGCAAATTTCAGCAGAAGTTCCAGGGATTAAACCATGAAGAGGCATAGAGGATACAGCCACTGCTTTTCCAGCTCAACTTTTAGCAATAAAGTCATATTTTGCTGGAAAATATAAAGAACATTCAAAACACTGTATTTAACCTTCAGTTACACCTACATAATAAGTTCTCTGTTTTTCCAACCCCACTAAGACTGGGATCACTTGCAATATACACTACAACAGCACTACATTCGGCCCAACACACTGAACACTGCACCGGTGTGACTCATCCTTCCAACCACAGTAAAGGTATTAAGTATTGCTACAATGCTTGCCCTCACAGCACCTAAATTTTAACAATTGTGCCCTCATAACAAATTTTTACACTCACTAAATATTTAGCTTTTTCCTTTTTAAATTCTGTTTCTTTGGGCTTGGAATTCAAACACTTAATAGTTAAAGAATGACTAGCAGAGGCTTTTGAAGAAAAAAAAACAACCATTTATAATATGTTTGGAACAATAGATATGACCCAATTTCAATATACCATTAACAAAAAGGATCTCATATATAACAGATGTATTATTCAAAATTCAAATTCATTATTCCAATATATATTACAGGACAATCTAAGCACCAACAGGTAGCCTGAAATGCTTCACCAGCTGCCTATTTTCGAAGCTGTAACTCTTCAGGAATATGCCAATGTTATTAACCATTACTTGCATGATAGCAGCAGCAACCACTTATCTACTCCTTAAGCAGCTGTTTAACAGGACCTAAAAATTTAAGGGCCTCTTATTCACCTGTAAAAGGTAAGTCTTCCTACATCGATCTGAGTTATGAATGAATTACTGAGACAGGCAGTTTTACAATTTATGAACTACCATACAAGTAATCTAAGAGGAATTATAACCTATAAGAGATACCTTCTTTTTATCATTAACACATTTCAGTTTGATTAAGTATTGCCACTAAGTATCATAGAATTAGTTGGTGCCCTAATAGTTGACACGGACCAAGACTCACAGCTTCAGAAGAAAGGTTCCCCTTCATTTTGATTTGTGAAAAAAGTGTAAATCATAGTGTTATGGTTACATAGTGTGACAATGTTGTTGCAGCACTGTTTTTCATTAAATATTCAATTATTTAGCTAAAAAATAGGAAGTCAGAGAGAAAGAAAAAAGTTTTTAAAATTGTACATATCCATAATGAGAACAAATTTTTAGACATCATTTGAGCAGTTAATTCCATAATGTTTTGAAAAGCAATTGCAATGAAGAAACAGTCGCAGCAGCCCATAACTGCTAGCCTGTGAGTGCCCTGCTCATAGCCGCTCTCCAGGCCAAACGAATCCCTATGAGTCATAGGATGATGAGTGGTGATCTGGGGGACGGCCAGGTGAAGGGGGAGAGGAGAGGTTACTGCTGGTGTTGGATGCAATGGAGTGGCGTGGGGAGGTGTCACCACACTCCTGCTGTGAGGGAAAGGATAGGGAAGGAAAGAAAAGAAATATCATCAGTCAAAATCATTACATGAAAATAGTAATAGTTCTTCCTAAATGCATAAATATAATGCAACAAATAAATTTCTAATTCAATCATCATATTGATATTTGCCTAAAATTCAACAATATTCCGCTCAATTCATCTCAACATAAATTACTTTTCATAAAATCTGTTTATTATGCCATACATTCTTGGGAGGAGTTTCTCTTCGCTTATCTTACCTCCTGTAGTTGATGAATTATCTGGTGCCGGGGCTCCTCAGGTGAACGCTGAGGTGGCAAGTGTTGTGGGGCTGCAGAGGGGGGTAGTGGGGGCATCCCTGGGCGGCGGCCAGAACCTGGCATTGGAGGAGGGCCACTACCTGGAATGCCATAGTCCATTTCTTTAGTAAAATTCTAAGTAAATATACATATACAAATCTATATACTCATCACTGCACAAAGAAAATAGCAATGTAATATAAATATGCCAATCTATATACACCCACCATTGTAGCTCATTCTTTAAATTTGGAAATAGCAGTTAGATTTTTAAAAATAATGATGCTATATATATGTAATCACTAACCATTGTGAACATTAGAATAATGTGGCTGTGGGAGTGGTTGATGGCTGAAGGAGCGTCTCGGTGGTTCTGGTCCCTGTGGTAATCTTGGTGGGGCTAATTTTCCACTAGTCTGTAGCATGCTGCGTACCTGCATTTTGGTAGAAAATGGAAGGTAAATTCAATGATGAATGCATAATGTAACCTAATACAAGCACAAATCCTCCAAATTAGCTACAATCCCGTCATGGAAACGTCTAGATTGAAGGCCGGGTGATGTGAACAAGCCATCATCGGGCAAAATGGCCGCAGGCCAGGTGACGTGCACTTGCCATCATGAGCAAAGGCCAGGGTGATGGAAGAGACTCGCAACGAGTGCACAACCCTCTTGATGTGTGATTTGATTCATTTGGCACTTAAAAGGGGGCTTTAACATTATTCCCATCTATAAACGAATGTGGAATGTAACGTGCAAAAGCCATGACTGGAAGAATGTCAGCTTCCTGGAGGTTACATTTCCATGCTGTGCACCCTATTCCTGGACACTGTGACCAGTGGCACAGGTTGTATTACAGAAAATTGAAAATTATGAAAAAATAAGATATCTAACACAAAGAAGCAAATGTTCCATACTTTCTTTTTTTTCTTGCACTGAGTTATTTACTACACAGAGAGATGATATAGAGTCTGTACAAGGAAAATAAGCTATTACCATCTAGATAAAGCAAATCAAAAGACAAATATGGATATTGGAAAATGGCAAAAAGGCTAAAGAAGTTTGCACAAAATAATTTTGCAAATGGGAGGCACAGTCTTATCACTGCTCATGGGTGTTTGCGCACGCTCGGCCTACGCACTGCACGCCTGGTATGTTGGCTACTTACATAACCCATTGCCAGTATTTTCGGCACTGTGATTTCCGTGACACAACCAGATCCAATACATTAATAATGTTCTCAATAGTAACACACTAAGATTTCACTTTAAAACTATTGATAATAAAATTAATTATAATAATAAATAAATAAAGAGATGAATGAGAAAATCCCAAACATCAAACATACTAACCCTATGGATGGACTGTTGTGAATGGGGTGTTCTCTGATCAGCAGCAGCATTCAGTCGTGAGGGCAGGTCAACCAGTCGCTGAATCTCTATGCTATCTCCAGGGCCCATATGGCTTATGTGGTTGAAATTGGTTGGGCCAGAAATCAACTTACTACGACGGTCAGTTCTGGGGAGAGGCACAGAAGTGGATTAGTTACTTTCATCTTGAAAAATGTATGTCATCTTGAAATGACCAGCTGATATTGCAGACAAGGAAATGAATATGAAATCCATACAAGGAGCTTTCCAACTTAAATGACACAGATAAAAAGAAAAAGAAAATAAGTACACTGATAGAATAACAGTGATGAATAACACTAATATTTTTATATACTGAATAGGGATCTCAACCTATCAACACCTACTGAAGTATTCATTACTAGCAAACATATTGACTGTACAAAGACAAATGACTGATATTTGCCAAGAGACAATATGTAAACATCATAACACAAAAGGTTAAAAATTACTTAAGCACTTGATATAAACACAAATTCATTATATTCACTCATGCTTGTAAGGTCATTTGTAAAAGTTATGAAATGCAAACTGCTAAATATATCAGAACATCGAAAGAATTTTTAAAATAATAAATAAATAAATACTGCAAGAGGAACAAACACATCTTAGGGGAGGAGGCACTGCCAATTGCCAAGAGTAATAAAAGTACTGTATTAACTAAGACAATCACATCTTATATTAGTAAATTGCAAAAGAAACCTCATAAAACCAGGACGCCAAAAAATGAGGTAAAGGAACTACATGGCACACCAAAATGGTCTTCGTTATCAAGAGACAATGATCAAAGACATATAGAGAGCAAGTTAAAGCCATGTAGTCTGGTGGGTTAAAGAGGGGCAGCTACTGCAGGCGTGCCTCTGAGGTCATGTTGTCTAATTGTCACGCCTAATCAATGCCAGAAAGCTATCTTTGCTGCCACTGGAAGCTACATTCACTCTATTGGTTGCTAAGAACAAACTATACTACATGGCCTACACTGGTGTGGATGAGGAACCAGGCGAGCCCAGTCTTGGATTGTAAGAGCCCCTCTACACATCTTCCCAGGCACGCCAAATCTTTGAATCTGTACCCGACAAGCCAACGGTGTACGCATGGGTTCTGGCGGCGTGCTCAGCTCGGCGAGTAAGAGTGAGGTCTATCGATCGCGCAGGACGGCGACTGTCACACAGCATGTAAGCTCATAGCAGGCAGGCGCCTTCTCCCACGCTGCCTTAACGCTGCAGATAACACAGTTGCCACAACCACAACGTTCACAGTTTACTATTCGATGCTAATCATCATTCTAAACATTCGGTACACATCATTATACATAATCAACACATTGTGAATCTTGTTTAACAAAAAAACTCATCTACTCTTCCAACGCGACGACACATCATATATCTTTTCTTCGTCCTTATATTATACTCGAGAGTGTGGGTAATAACCGATCGAGCGCTCGCCATATGTAATAAAAAATATGTCCATAGCTCCAGATATGACTATGAAGGTGTCCATAGCTCCTCATTCGCTTAAGAAGCGGAATATCTATAAATATGTACTCTAGCTCTAATAACTGCATTATACCTTAATGACAAGGGACTGCTGGCCCGTCCTGTCGTACGTGTGGACATATCGCAAAAGAGGCATGCGCATCTTCCGCCCACAGACATACTCACAAGACACAGGGACATCAACTGCAGTGTGTGCATCATGCTCATCTCTCACTCTACTCTGCGTGCGAGACGGCAGGTTTACAGCCACAATATACATATAACGCTTCTCTCCTCAAACAAAAGCTGGTCTGCGGTGTGGCTCGGTGGCGTCGGTGGAATAAAAATAAAACATCTGACAGTTACTTTACCCTTTACAAGCTCCTTTTCTTTCTCCAATAATTTATATTACTACAGTCGTGCTGCTCAATATCCTGACCCGATAAACCCCCAAAAAACCACAAAACGACCATACTCACACTATCATACACAGGTTTCCACCACGAAAATACAAACACGAGGTCAAACCTGTAACTCTATCTTCTCCACGGCAGTGTCTCAGGAAAACACGTGTATGCTATGAGCTGGGCTGATCTCTTCAGCTTCGCATGAATTTTTCTCTCTCATTTAGTGACACGAATTCCTAAGCACAATGTAAGCAGACGTCTGGACTTATACCTCCATCCTCAATTCACATATTAACAATTTTACATCCGCTCATCTCTCGCAATCATTCGTATCCACTTCAGTGTATAAGCAAACATCATCTTGGGCGAGCGCGAGCCAAGCATCTCTTGCTCAGTCATCGTAATATGCATGAAAGTGACTGCTAGTATAGCACTTACTCACTCCCCTAAGAGACGCTGACTCATGAAAAGGTAATTATGCTATCTAATTGACCACATCTCAACTTGCACAGATGATCAGATATCACACATACCTATTAAGATCATAACACTTAAAGAAGCGACCTATCAGGCTCTACTACAATACACAAATGGGGGAGAGCGGAGAGGGAGAGGAAGTAAACAGGTATTAAAGGAAAAGGTGGAGAAAACAGGTATTCAAGCGGGAGAGTGGGAGCAGCAACAGGGCCGTGTTGAAGGGGAGTGATTGGGCATGGAGGGAGGGAGGAGGAGGAGGAGGAGATGGGAGACCCAGACAGTCAGTTCAGGAACAGTCAGACAGTCAGTCAGACAATCAGACATGTCAGGGCAGACGATGAGGGACAGACATGACAGACAGACAGGACAGAAGACAGACAGACAGGACATGACGACAAGACAGACAGGACAGTACATGACAGACAGACAGATCAGACAGACAGACAGACACACACCACACACCACACCACACCAACACACACACACACACCACACAGCACACCACAACAGCAGCACACACACACCACACATCACACACATGAGTGAGTCCGCATGAAACACGCCCATAAACTCTCGGACACAAAAACAACGAGACAATATTCAAGATGACTATTATAAATAGATGAAGAGTAAACAGCAACAACAGTGATAAATAAATTCCTCTCACCGTTCACTATTGTAGCAACCTTTCAACATTCCCCAGACTACAAGAGCCAGTGACAAACAATGCAGTCCACTGCATTGCAAATTACAAGACTGGCAAGAGATAGAATTATGAGAGAGAAAAAACAAAATCATAACCAAAAAGATAAAGTGGCGAAAGTGTTGATTTAAATCCATAAAGAAGCAGGGGAAGTCATAAGCTACAAATGCCTTCTTTGGCATGATGCAAGGCACCACTAGAGTATCGGAAAGCGACTTACCGAGGATTGCGCGTATCACTTATTGGCGCGAGATCGGTTGTGCTGTGTTAAGAAGGTATAAGCAACAGAGTAGCTTGAATTCGGGCAAACTATAATTGCAAGAAGACCAAGACCGATGTCAGGGCGATACGCTATGGTAAGAGAAACAATAGAGAGAATAGATCCCGAGATGCGCATAGAGAAGCTGAGTCCTTAAATTGTGGTTATCTGGTGCAATCAGAGTAAACTCAATATTTTGAGATATAAAATGGATTGTCACTGTCTTATCATAGAAAGATAGAAGAATCATAACAAATAATAACAAAAGAAACAATAATAATAGAGTGAGAGAAGATATACAGCAGAAAATGAAATCCAGTGCACGTATATCCACAGCCAAAATGAGAGAATAACACCCCAAGAAAATCTACGAATTAGTGGATTTTTAATACCGAGCCATACGATTAATTCACTTCAAAGATTCCGTGTGTAGAAAGATCCAGGAAAGTGTCCAGTTTAAATAAAACTTGGCTAGATGACTAGGATAATAATAGCTGATGAGTGATATATCTGAGATATCATACAGGGTGCTACTAAACGAATCATAGGACTACCCATAAGAAGAAAAAGAAAGAAGAAAAGAAAGAAGAAAAGAGAGTCACAACAGAGAAAATGCTAACTTACTCTACTGGCTGATGTAGATGTTGGTTGATGGGAGGAAGATTTTTATAAAACTGAAAAGAGGAACATTTCTTTTCTAAATTACCATGGAGCAAGTGTATGCGATGAGCATACCGAGATATTATATATCGTACATGACTATACATTTATGTGCAGATATACCTCTCTCTAGATAATCTAATATATATATAATATCGCTATATATTATATATACAGTGTAATATATATATATAGTATAATAGTATATATATAATATTATTTATTGTATTGATAGTATATTATATATATATTTCGATGTATATGTAGTATGTATATGTATATTGTTAATGTATAGCTATATATATTATAATATATATATATTACTAGTATCCTATAGATTATATATACAATATATATGTAATACTGAGATTCTCGTAATTATACATGAGTGAAACAACTTATACAGATAATACAGGAGAGGAGATATACATATGGACATATGGCAGGATACGCATACGCATTACGGCGAATAACCTGAGCCATACGCGACATAGTAGCGAGAGATAATTTAAGCGTATAACATATATATGTATTGTATTGATATTATATATATGGTATTTTATATATACATTATAGTAATATATATATACATATATACTATACATATATATATATAACAGGGTGAGTTATAGATATAGGGCATAATATATATATATATATTGAGAGAGAGAGATAATGAGCTAGTAATAAGTACGATATGATACAGATATATAAGCTATATATAGAAATATACAATATATACAAAATATATATATATATATATTTACTAGTAATACTACTTCTATAAGTTAGTATACATATAGTATATTATATTATAAACGATGTTTCTGTCATCTATCGAGTCATTTATTTATTCATCATATTCACGACTATACAAAACAACTCATATACCCCGTATTATATATATCTAACTCTATAGACTTATACTATATCCTCATACATAGTGATGTCCCTACTCACCTATATATCTATACTAGGTTTATATATTATCTTCTTATACCGCACCATCTCTCTCCACTACAGTATTTACAGTTTCGTTACGTGTGAGCGCTAGTGATCACTGTCTATGTATAGTATACAGCTATACCAGTTATTATAGCTCGGTAATAATATAACTTAGTCTAAGTT